TCTGTGTAGAATTCTACATAGAAACTCTATTAGAGTCGGTTAAATTCTTGTGATTCTGTCTGGGTCTACGTAGGGCTCTATTTTAGAGTTCTGTGTTACTCTTTCAAAGCTTATGTAGCATTCTACTGTAGAGCTCTTATATAATTCTATGCAGTATTCACGTAAAGATCTTTAGAACTCTACTAAAGTTCAAGTCAGAGCTTTTAGCAGAAATTTATGTATAGTCTACTAGGCTCTATTTTGAGTTCTGTGTAGACATTATATATAAATATATATATTAATTTATATAACTATATATATAATATTAGAGAGTAAGAGAGAGAAGACGAGAGAAGTAGAGAGTAGGAGAGGAGAGTTAGAGAGAGAGAGTAGGAGAGAAATAGAGCCTAGAGAGAGAGTTAGAGTAGAGCCAGAGAGAAGAGAGTGAAGAGAGAGATGATGAGAGAAAGTAGAGAAGAGAGAGAGAGAGAGAAGAGAGAGAGAGAGAGAGAGGAGAGAGAGGAGAGAGAGAGAGAGAGAGAGAGAGAGAGAGAGAGAGAGAGAGAGAAGAGAGAGAGAAAGAGAGAGTGCTATACCTGGAGGTTACCTGGAGGTTATTCCGGGGATCAACGCCCCCGCGGCCCGGTCCATGACCAGGCCTCCCGATGGATCAGGGCCTGATCAACTAGGCTGTTACTGCTGGCCGCACGCAGTCCGACGTACGAGCCACAGCCCGGCTGATCCGGCACCGACTTTAGGTATCTGTCCAGCTCTCTCTTGAAGGCAGCCAGGGGTTTATTGGCAATTCCCCTAATGCTTGATGGGAGGCTGTTGAACAGTTTTGGGCCCCGGACACTTATGGTGTTTTCTCTTAGTGTACCAATGGCGCCCCTACTTTTTATTGGCGGCATTTTGCATCGCCTGTCCAGTCTTTTACTTTCGTAGGGAGTGATTTCTATGTAGAACTCTATTGAATGGTATGTAGAGTTCTATAGAGTGCTATGGAGAACTCTACTGAATGGTATGTAGAGCTCTATAGAGTGCTATGTAGAGCTCTATAGAGTGCTATGAAAAGCTCTATAGAGTGCTGGGTAGAGCTTAATAGAGTGCTATGTAGAGCTCTATGGAGTGCTGTGTAGAGCTCTATAGAGTGCTATGTAAAGCTCTATAGAGTGCATGGAGAGCTCTATAGAGTGCATGGAGAGCTCTATAGAGTGCTACGTAAACCTCTGTACCTGTCTTGTTTTCGATCACGTTGCTACGTCATTAGTACTGATGATACATCAAGGCTGGCGGCACGCTGCTGTGTCTCTCTATGTGTCCTCTTAAGCTAACATAATGCGTCACCTTTGGGAATCTGACCTAACACTGGAGGGGTGTGGCAGGTGACACATGACATTAGAGGGTGTGGCAGGAGACACGTGACACTAGAGGGTTGTGGCAGAAGACACATGACGCTAGAGGGGTGTGGCAGACGACACATGACACTAGAGGGGTGTGGCAAACGACACATGACTCTTGAGGGGTGTGGCAGGCGACACATGACACTAGAGGGGTGTGGCAGGCGACACATGACACTAGAGGGGTATGGCAGGCGACACATGACACTAGAGGGGTGTGGCAGACGACATATGACACTAAAGGGGTGTGGCAGACGACATATGACACTAGAGGGGTGTGGCAAGCGACACGTGACACTAGAGGGGTGTGGCAGGCGACACATGGCACTGGAGGGGTGTGACGGGCGACACATGACACTAGAGGGGTGTGGCAGGCGACACATGACACTGGAGGGGTGTGGCAAGCATAACCTGACACTGGAGGGTGTGGCAAGCGACACATGAAACTGGATGGTGTGGCAAGCGACACATGACACTGGAGGGTGTGGCAAGCGACACATGGCATTGGAGGGTGTGGCAAGCGACACATGAAACTGGACGGTGTGGCAAGCGACACATGACACTGGAGTGGTGTGGCAAGCGACACATGACACTGGAGGGTGTGGCAAGCGACACATGAAACTGGACGGTGTGACAGGCAATACATGACACTAGAGGGGTGTGGCAAGCGACACATGACACGAGAATCGAAGTATCGTACCTACAACAATTCACAAACAACTCACACTAAAGAGAGGAAACTTATGACGACGTTTCGCTCCGTCCTGGACCACTGACGAAGCACAGTGGTCCAGGAGGGACCGATACGTCGTCTTAATTAAGGTTGAGTGGTGCGGATGTTATACCGGTCAAGACGGTGGTGTCCACCAGGCGCGTCACTCAACACTGAAGTCGTTCAGAAGAGCCAAATTTAAGTTACTATACAGGAAAAAAAGGATCACACCATTAAAAAAAATAAAATAAGAAAATCTGTACCAAGGAACTCCCCCTCCCCCTACCCCTTATCACCCCCCCCCTCTTATGCAGGTTACACGGGTGCTGGAGGTTTGTAGCTGATCGGCAGTGATTTGTTTCAAGCTATGGCACGGGTACAAAATTCGTCTGTTTAACATTGACCAACGACCACCTGTACATGTCAGGCTCTGCATGACCAATTGCCTAGTGACGCTGCCCCAGAGTTGAAGGTTTGAAACTGATCGGATGAGTCGTTCTCAAGTTATAAACTAAACATCTACCTTTGTTGTGTCACTTACCAGTGTCACCTGTGTCACTGGTAGGTGACACAGCATTGATGAAAGAGGTGTCAGGTGACATGGGTAGGTGACACAACACTGGTAGGTGACACAACACTGGTAGGTGATACAACACTGGTAGGTGATACAACACTGGTAGGTGATACAGCACTGGTAGGTGACACAACTGGTAGGTGACACAACACTGGTAGGTGATACAACACTGGTAGGTGATACAACACTGGTAGGTGATACAACACTGGTCTCAGTAGTAGTAACCAGTTACCAGTAACCAGTGTACCAGTAGATGACTCACTACCAACCGTCTCTGCCTGAGTCACTGTCTGTATTCATATTGCCGCTGACCTCAGCAGTATTTCAAAGACCCCCACATATGGGTACTGGGATTAGTCAGTTATACGAGAGTGAGCAAGGAGGCAGGCCGGTTGTTTGGCGCTTCCCACATTATCCGTAATTATACGTACTACCAGCCTACGTGAGTATTACTTAACCCTATCCACGTGTTCGAACCCCACATGATACTGGTAGGTGACACAACTAGTAGGTGACACAACACTGGTAGGTGACACAACACTGGTAGGTGATACAACACTGGTAGGTGATACAACACTGGTAGGTGATACAGCACTGGTAGGTGACACAACATTGATGAAAGAGGTGTCAGGTGACATGGGTAGGTGACACAACACTGGTAGGTGACACAACACTGGTAGGTGATACAACACTGGCAGGTGATACAACACTGGTAGGTGATACAGCACTGGTAGGTGACACAACTGGTAGGTGACACAACACTGGTAGGTGATACAATACTGGTAGGTGATACAACACTGGTAGGTGATACAACACTGGTAGGTGACACAACTGGTAGGTGACACAACACTGGTAGGTGACACAACACTGGTAGGTGATACAACACTGGTAGGTGATACAACACTGGTAGGTGACACAACTGGTAGGTGACACAACACTGGTAGGTGATACAACACTGGTAGGTGATACAACACTGGTAGGTGATACAACACTGGTAGGTGACACAACTGGTAGGTGACACAACACTGGTAGGTGATACAACACTGGTAGGTGATACAACACTGGTAGGTGACACAACTGGTAGGTGATACAACACTGGTAGGTGACACAACACTGGTAGGTGATACAACACTGGTAGGTGATACAACACTGGTAGGTGATACAACACTGGTAGGTGACACAACTGGTAGGTGACACAACACTGGTAGGTGACACAACACTGGTAGGTGATACAACACTGGTAGGTGATACAACACTGGTAGGTGATACAACACTGGTAGGTGATACAGTACTGGTAGGTGACACAACTGGTAGGTGACACAACACTGGTAGGTGACACAACTGGTAGGTGACACAACACTGGTAGGTGACACAACTGGTAGGTGACACAACACTGGTAGGTGACACAACACTGGCAGGTGACACAACACTGGTAGGTGACATAACAGGGGTAGGTAACACAACAGTGGTAGGTGACACAGCACTGGTAGGTGGCACAACACTGGTAGGTGACATAACAGTGGTAGGTAACACAACAGTGGTAGGTGACACAGCACTGGTAGGTGACATAACAGTGGTAGGTGACACAGCACTGGTAGGTGACATAACAGTGTTAGGTGACAGCACTGGTATATGACACAACAATGGTAGGTGACACAACACTGGTAGGTGACGGAACACTGGTAGGTGACGCAATACTGGTAGGTGACATGGGTAGGTGACACGGGTAGATGACACTGGCAGGTGGCACTGGTAGGTGACACTGGTAGGTGACACGGGTGGGTGACACGTTTAAGTGACTTGTAGGTGACAAGGGTGGGTGACACGTTTAAGTGACTGGTAGGTGACACTGGTAGGTGATATAGGTAAGTGACACCGGTAGGTGACACAGGTAGGTGACACAGTTAGGTGACATAGGTAGATGACACTGGTAGGTGCCTCAGATAGGTGACACAGGTAGGTGACATTGGTAGGTGACTCAGATAAGTGACACAGGTAGGTGACACCGGTAGGTGACACAGGTAGGTGACACAGTTAGGTGACATAGGTAGGTGACACTGATAGGTGCCTCAGATAGGTGACACAGGTAGGTGACACTGGTAGGTGACTCAGGTAAATGACACAGGTAGGTGACACGGGTAACACTGGTAGGTGACACAGGTAGGTGACTCAGGTAAGCGACACAGGTAGGTGACTCAGGTAAGCGACACAGGTAGGTGACTCAGGTAAGCGACACAGGTAGGTGACTCAGGTAAGCGACACAGGTAGGTGACTCAGGTAGGTGACACAGGTAGGTGACATATGTAGGTGACACAGGTGACACGTCAACGCTTACGGTATCTTCTCTTGCTGGGTAGCAGCGTGTAGATATGAGGTTGGTCTTGGTAGTAAGGTGCTGGGGGCAGCAGCTGGTTGCTGGATCCTGGGGGTGAGACCACCTTGTCACCACCTGACACGCCCACCTCGCCGCCAGCTGGCTTGATGTCGTACTCCAGCTGGAGAGGCAGGAAGATATGGGCAGGAAGTCCGGTACTGAGTACTATCAGTGCCAGTAACACCACGCCCACACACACTCTGCTGCCCCCCACGCCCACACACACTCTGCTGCCCCCCACGCCTGGCATCACTGCTGCTGCTGCACCTCTCATGTCTATAATAAAGATAACTTTTCATTATCAAATAAAACTGAGAATGAAGAATAAAACTCAAAATACCATGGCAGGAACAATTCACCAACAACCCGAACTCTGAGAGGAAACTTTGATGGATGTTACTGTCCGTGATGGACCGGATATGGCAGGACAGTGGTCCAGGACCGACCCAAACATCCTACAAAGCTTCCTCTATAAAAGTGAGAGTTATCATTGAAAAGTGAACACATGAAGATTGTGATGCCACCTTAGCTTATATGATTGTTATATGTCAGCAGTAATAACTAGTTATGGTATATGTTAGCAACAATAGCTAGCTGTGTTATATGTCAGTAAGACTAGCTAGCTATATTACATGTCAGCAACAACAGCAAGTTGTTGCTGATTCTATGTCATCACTGAAGGTTCGTGACTCACATAACGACTAACATTATCATTGGAGAAACCAAATATAGATACTCAAAAATCGGGGAAAAAGTAATTAATGTACATTTTCATCATACATGGAATTACTCCATAATAAAACTGACATGTTAGCCAAAAAAAAGTAACCCGAGTGAAAATGTAGAATACATCTTTGGTGTCTAGCACTAGGAATAATAATAGGAGAGAATTAAAAAATGAAATTGAACTTAATAGGAATGCAATCAGAAGCCTGAGTAGATTTATAACCCACTATGATAACAAGAACGTAGATAAGTACGTTTATGTAGTGGCCAGGCTTAGGCTTGGTTACAAGTACTTCTGGCAGTTTGGCAGACACACACATGATGATTAAACCAAATATACTATAATAACAGTACGATAACCTATGTTTTATGTCAAGATATCTTATTAATGAAAACAAGATTCCAGACACATTAAGCAAATTTCCTAAATCTGCTTGCAACTGATAAATGAACTGTAGATATAAATCCAGACGTATTCCTGAAAACACTTTTGAGGCCTAGTTCCTAGGCCTTTTGTATATCCATATGTTTGTGCATAATAAACTAGTAGCTTCGGTGGCAAAACCTAGGAATCTATATCGTTATAATTTGGTCAACTTTCACCAATAGTTTGACTGACCAGGGCATCAACAAGAAGTCCTGGTCTAAGACCAGGTCACAGGTCTGGAGTTTTCTTTCTTATTGATATACTTGGTCAGGAAATGACTTCACTCACTCACCCACTGACTATAAACCCAGAAATACTAATCTTAATCTTAAAATAATAAATCCTAACTAGTCATAAGTTTGCCTATGATACTCCAATATAGACACTTTGTATTGTGCCAAAACAAAAGCATTCACATTGCTAAACTCACAAATTATGATGTAGTCACTTAGCCTTAATACCTTAATCTGTAAGGATTTAATGTTAAGAATTAATCTAAGTCTGCTCGAAATGCCTAGCCAGGCTAGGTGTCCTAGTGGCCCCCTCTGTAATTAGTATTTTATAACATGTAAACCACACAATACCAAAAACCTGTAAACCCCACATTGTAACCATTATAGAGAATAAACTTGAATTGAATTGAATTGAATACATTTGTATTGCAGTCATTGTGCCAGGATGCGACATACAGCAGTTTCCTAACACCCAGGTACCGATTGTCACTGCTGAGTGATCACAGGTGTTCAGGAACTACCAGCTGGACCTGGTTTTCGCATCCAACATATTCATTGCTTAAGGTTCTCCAAGAGCTTCGATAGAGTGATCGCAGCTTGTGAGCGATCACGTGTATAGCTTCCCCTTGTGTACGGATGGTGACATCTGCACCCGACTTTGTGTATGGATGGTGACAACTGCACCCCACCTTGTGTACGGATGGTGACAACTGCACCCCACCTTGTGTATGGATGGTGACAATTGCAGCCCACCTTGTGTACGGATGGTGACAATTCCAGCCCACCTTGTGTACGGATGGTGACACTGCAGCCCACCTTATGTACGGATGGTGACAACTGCACCCCACCTTATGTACGGATGGTGACAACTGCAGCCCACCTTGTGTACGGATGGTGACAACTGCAGCCCACCTTGTGTACGGATGGTGACAACTGCAGCCCACCTGTATGGATGGTGACATCTGCACCCCACCTTGTGTACGGATCGTGACATCTGCACCCCACCTTCTGTATGGATCGTGACATCTGCACCCCACCTTCTGTATGGATGGTGACATCTGCACCCTACCTTTGTGTACGGGTGGTCATATGTGCACCCCACCTTGTGTATGGATTCTCACATGTACCCCACTTTGTGTATGGTCACATGTGTACACCGCCTTGTGTATGGATGGTCACATGTGCACCCTACCTTGTGTACGGATGGTCACGTTTGTATGACATCTGATGGAAGTATCACATGTGTGTTATATCCTCTGTACGTGTGATCACGTGTCTACCATATCTTGTGAATGAACAGCCATGTGTGTGTTACAGCTTGTGAACGGAAAGTCACGTGTGTAGCAAAGGCAAATTCAATTGGCATATCTTTTTAAATTTTCCCGATTTATATATTGGTCGAACAATGCGTATTCGAAGGATGAAGAGTGAAGTTCATTGAAAACTTTACCAAACTCTGTAACAAAGTTTATATATATTTTAACATATTTTCTTGCCATGAGAGGTCGTGCACAGCGACTAAGAAAATAATGTAAATTATTTTCTCCATACTCCACTGTACATGAAAATGTTCCTCAACTTATAGAGCCAGGATGGTCTAACACAGGATGGTCTAACACAGGATGGTCTAACACAGGATGGTCTAACACAGGATGGTCTAACACAGGATGGTCTAACACAGGATGGTCTAACACAGGATGGTCTAACACGGGATGGTCTAACACAGGATGGTCTAAACAGGATGGTCTAACACGGATGGTCTAACACAGGATGGTCTAACACAGGATGGTCTAAACGATGGTCTAACGGATGGTCTAACCCCGGATGGTCTAACACGGATGGTCTAACACAGGATGGTCATAAAACAGGATGGTCTAAACCCGGATGGTCTAACACAGGATGGTCTAACACAGGATGGTCTAACACGGGATGGTCTAACACGGGATTGGATCTAACACAGGATGGTCTAACACGGATGGTCTAAACACAGGGGTGGTCTTTAAAAAAGGATGGTCTAACACGGATGGTCTAACCAGTGTCTAACACGGATGGTCTAACACAGGGGTCTAACCGGGATGGTCTAACACAGGGGTGGTCTAACAGGATGGTCTAACACAGGATGGTCTAACACAGGTTGGTCTAACACAGATGTTAACACGGATGGTCTACAGGATGGTTCTAACACAGGATGGTCTAACACAGGATGGTCTAACACAGGATGGTCTAACACAGGATGGTCTAACACAGGATGGTCTAACACAGGATGGTCTAACACAGGATGGTCTAACACAGGATGGTCTAACACAGGATGATATTTAACACAGGATGGTCTAAAAACAGGATGGTCTAACACAGGATGGTCTAAACACAGAATGGTTAAACGGATGGTCTAAAAGCAGGTGATATTTAACACAGGATGGTCTAACACAGGAGGGTTTTAACACAGGATGGTTAACAAGGATGGTCTAACACAGGATGGTCTAACACAGGATGGTCTAACACAGGATGGTCTAACACAGGATGATATTTAACACAGGATGGTCTAACACAGGATGGTCTAACACAGGATGGTCTAACACAGAATGGTCTAACACAGGATGGTCTAACGCAGGATGATATTTAACACAGGATGGTCTAACACAGGATGGTCTAACACAGGATGGTCTAACACAGGATGGATTAACCAGGATGGTTAACACAGGATGGTCTAACACAGGATGATGTTTAACACAGGATGGTCTAACACAGGATGGTCTAACACAGGATGATATTTAACACAGGATGGTCTAACACAGGATGGTCTAACACAGGATGGTCTAACACAGGATGATATTTAACACAGGATGGTCTAACACAGGATGGTCTAACACAGAATGGTCTAACACAGGATGGTCTAACACAGGATGATATTTAACACAGGATGGTCTAACACAGGATGGTCTAACACAGGATGGTTACCCGAATTTAACACAGGATGGTCTAACCAGGATGATATTTAACACAGGATGGTCTAAACAGGATGGTCTAACACAGGATGGTCCCAACACAGAATGGTCTAACACTGGAAAGGTTCTAACGAGCGATGTATTTAAAACAGGATGGTCTAACACAGGATGTTACACAGAGGTCTAAAACAGGATGGTCTAACGCAGGATGATATTTAACACAGGATGGTCTAAACACATTATGATATTTAACACAGGATGGTCTAACACAGGAAAGGTCCCAAAAACGGATGATAAATTTTAAAAACAGGATGGTTCTAACACAGGATGGTCTAACACAGAATGGTCTAACACAGGATGGTTTTAAAAAGGATGATATTTAACAAAGGATGGTCTAACACAGGATGGTCTAACACAGAATGGTTTTAACACGGATGGTCTAACGCAGGATGATATTTAACCAGGATGGTCTAAACGGATGTTAACAGGATTTATATTTTAAAACAGGATGGTCTAACACAGGATGGTCTAACACAGAATGGTCTAACACAGGATGGTCTAACGCAGGATGATATTTAACACAGGATGGTCTAACACAGGATGGTCTAACACAGGATGGTCTAACACAGGATGATATTTAACACAGGATGGTCTAACACAGGATGGTCTAACACAGGATGGTCTAACACAGAATGGTCTAACACAGGATGGTCTAACGCAGGATGATATTTAACACAGGATGGTCTAACACAGGATGGTTTTTAACAGGATGTCTAACCAGGAGATTTTAACACAGGTGGTCTAACACAGGATGGTCTAACACAGGATGGTCTAACACAGAATGGTCTAACACAGGATGGTCTAACACAGGATGATATTTAACCAGGGAAGGGATGTCTTACACAGGATGGTCTAACCAGGATGATTTTAACAAGGATGGTCTAACCGGATGATCTTTTTAAAACAGGATGGTCTAACACAGGATGATCTTTAAAAACAGGTTTGGGCTAACACAGGGGTGATTTTAAAAACAGGATGGTCTAACCAGGATGATCTTTAACACAGGATGGTCTAACACAGGATGATCTTTAACACAGGATGGTCTAACACAGGATGATCTTTAACACAGGATGGTCTAACACAGGATGATCTTTAACACAGGATGGTCTAACATAGGATGATCTTTAACACAGGATGGTTAACACAGGTGATCTTTAACACAGGATGGTCTAACACAGGATGATCTTTAACACAGGATGGTCTTTAACAAAGGATGGTCTAACACAGGATGATCTTTAACACAGGATGGTCTAACACAGAATGATCTTTAACACAGGATGATCTAACACAGGATGGTCTAACACAGGATGATCTTTACAGGATGTTTAACACAGGATGGTCTAACAAGAATGGTTTTAAAACAGGAGGGTCTTTTAACACAGGGTGGTTTAAAAACAAAGGGTGGTTAACACAGGATGATTCTTTAACACAGGAGGGCCTTTAACACATGACCTTTAACACAGAAGGACCTTTAACACAGGAGGGCCTTTAACACAGGAGTCTTTAACCCAGGAGGGTTTTTAACCTAGCAGGGTTTTTTAATCCAGGAGGGTCTTTAACCCAGAGGTTTTTTTTTTTAACCCAGGAGGATATTTAGCCCAGGATGGTCTTTAACAAAGGAGGTTCTCTAAGCCCACAGGGGCTTTAGGCCAGAGGGTCTTTAAGCCAATAGGGTCTTTAAGCCAGGAGGGTCTTTAGCCCAGGAGGGTTTTAAACCAGGATAACCCAAGAAAATGTGGCTTACCTTCTTTGAAGTACTTCACTTCTCTTCCCTAAGACTTGAGCAAAACAGCCTACTAACATCTAGGTGCCTATTTACTGCTAGGTGAAGTGGCAGCAAGGGTAAGGAGATTTGTCCATACGTTTTGACTAGCCAGGAATTAAACCCTGATCTTTTCGTCTGTGATCTGAACTCTCAACTACTGAACTAAAAGTAGCATAAAAAAATAATTACTAGTAAAAATTAACAGATCTTTAAGCATTAATTAGTCTTTGTAGCGACACGGGGCAATCTCACCAGCGGTATCATGGAACAATTGCAACAACCTGGATGATTGGAACACCGTTGAAGTCGCTGCTGGTGTAGGAGATACAGCCTCTGCTGCTGCTGCTGGTTTGGGAGACAGTCTTCGCTGCTGCTGGTGTGGGAGAGACAGCCTTTGCCGCTGCTACTGGTGCGGGAAAGACAGCCTTTGCTGCTGCTGTGGGAGAGACAGCCTCTGCTGCTGCTGATGTGGAGAGACAGACTGCTGTTATTGATGTGGGAGAGACAACCTTCGCTGCTAATGGTTTGGAAGATGCAGCCTTTGCTGCTGCTGGTGTGGGAGAGACAGCCTCTGCTGCTGGTGTCTGAGAGACAGTCACTGGAGGAGAGCTGGCGCCAGAGTGAGGGTGATACCGTCACCTCCAATTGACGGACCTCAAGTGATTCTCTCAACACAACGTTGCTACATTTGTAAGTTGCCGCCTACCCGTTGGTTCATCTACTCCCCCGCATCGCTCCTCCCCACCAATGACAGGAAGGCCTCCAGCGCTCAAAATGCATCGACCAATCACAGCGTTCTTCAGGAGGGCGTCGGCCAATAGAAAACATCCGCGCGTTTTGGAATTGCGTTGGCGGCTTTTGAAAGCTACATGTAAATGTTGCATAATAACAAAGTATATATATTTTTCCGCTTATAATAATTATTATTATTATTATTATTATTTTTAAATATATTATAATATATATTATTATAATATAATAATAATACATAATAATAATAATAATAATATTTTATTTTGACATGATATATAGTTGTACAAAGGAATATAATAATTGAGTGTACATGCCAAAGCCCCTTGTATGCAGAGCATTTCGGGCAAACTTAAAATTAACTTAAGATTAATTAGGCTGTAACAGACTAAATGGTCATTAGGTGAGTTACAGTAAGTACAAGAGTATGAGTATTAATAGGTAATTGCTATAGGGCTTTTAATATGTCAGTATGTAAGAGTTTAGTAATAATAATTACAGTTTCTGCAATATTTTACAATAGAACCAATTTAAATAATTCTACGATTTGAGAGTTTTTTGTCAATGAACATCCGATATTGAACTTGCGGCTTTGTGAAATAATGAATGTACATAATGAAGCAAATCTAGAGCAATATTTTCCAGTATTAATATTTGTATTATTATCATTATATTTACTTTTTTTTTCTACTAATAAATCATTAAGTTATGACAGATAGTTTGTGGAATGTAGAATTGTTCATTACTCTATAATTTGTTATGATTGTGCAAGTATAAGAAGAACCTTTACAGGAATCATTCCTTGAAACTTGTGAAGCTCTTAACCTTATGTACCTAGTTAGCTTCAAAACTTTGGGGGCCATTCCCGGACCATATACGTAACCTCTGTTATATTATAATACCTTTGTATTGGTCTGATTGTGCAGACTTATGGAAGTTTACATTTAGTAAATTTGAGTTTAATTACTTTGTAAATTGGAAGTTCATTACCTTTGTAAATTTAGTTGAGTATTCCTACTTGTAACTTGCTCAAGCTATAAAACTTTGGAGTCCATCCTGTGAAATATGTACATTTTGAAATCTTTTGAACGCACATCAGGATTGGGAATGGTGCAATACATATTAAACTTAACTAATTTTGTGTTATGGTAGTATAAGTACGGCTTGTCTAGTTAATTTTGGGTGATGAGATTTCTGAGTAGGGCTTTAACTGATTTGCAGGCAGCAGGGGTCCTTTAGTGTGTTCTGGTAATGAATTCCAGATCTTCGGGCCCTTTACGTGCATAGTACTTTTGCGCAGAGAGATGGACACGGGATATCGAAAAGTGATTTGTGTCTTGTATTATGGTTGTGTGCTCTGTTGTAGTTAGCAAATAGAAGTTTGAGAGGAGGGTTTATATTTGAGTGTAGTGTTCTGTGCATGTAGTAGGCACAATAATAAGTGTGGATGTTTTGTATATTAAGTAAGCTAAGACTCCTGAAAAGCGGAGGAGTATGCTGTCTCTCACTGCAGTTTTTTGTTGGGTTATAAAAGGTTTAAGGTGATTTGCTGTGGTTGAGCCCCATGCACAACTACCATAGGTGAGGTAAGGGTAGATGAGTGAGTGGTATAGTGCAAGAAGAGCTGTTCGGGGTATTTAGTACCGTATCTTTGAGAGGCTGCCTACTGTTTTGGAGACTTTCTTGGATATGTGCATTTGGAATTTAAGATTGCAGTCTATGTGGAGACCTAGAAAATTGCCCTCTGTGTGTCTAGAAATGGGTGAACCATTTATCAGTATGTTTAGCTGTACATTTGTAGCTCTGTTTCTAAACAGCATAAAATCGGTTTTGTCTATATTGAGAGTAAGTTTGTTGGTGGTCATTCAAGTAGATATTTTTAGTAGTTTGGCATTTAGAGTGTATGTAAGTTTGATTGGTGTTTGGGTGAGAGAAGACTTTAAGGAGTTTAGATGTATTTGGGAGATCATTGAAGTAAATGAGAAAGTTGGTTGCTTCCCACCGTTTAGTTAATGGTGAAATTTATATTTGATGGATTATTTGCCTTATATACTAAAGTGATTTATTTTAAATATTATTATGACTCCTCAGAAAGCCATGATTATTTTTTTTTTTTACAAAAGCCTGAGTTGTCAGGGATGGTGATTTACTAGTGTGGTGGTCCCTGGTGTGGTGGCCCATGATATGGTGATCCATGGTGTGGTGGTCTCTGGTGTAGTGGTTCATGATATGGTGATCCATGGTGTGGTGGTCTCTGGTGTAGTGGTTCATGGTATAGTCGTCCCTGGTATGGTGGTCCATAGTATGGTGATTCATGGTGTGGTGGTCTTTGGTGTAGTGGTTCACGGTGTAGTGGTCCCTGGTGTGGTGGTCCATAGTATGGTGGTCCATGGTGTGGTGGTTCCTAATGTGGCGGTCCCTGGTGTGGTAGTCCCTAGTGTTGTAATCCCTGGTGTGGTGGTCCCTAGTGTGGTAGTCCCTGGTGTGGTAGTCCCTGGTATGGCAGTCCCTGATGTGGTGGCAAATGGCATGATGGTCCCTGGTATGGTGGGCCATGGTGTGGTGGTTTCTGGCGTTGTCCCTGGTGTGGTAGTCCCTGGTGTAGAGTCATGGTGGGGTGGTTCCTAGTGTGGTAATCCCTGGTGTGGTGGTCCATGGTGTGATGGTCCTTGGTGTGGTGGTCCATGGCGTGGTAGTCCATGGTATGGTGGTCTCTGGTGTGGTAGTCCCTGGTGTGGTAACCCCTGGTGTAGTGGTCCCTGGTGTGGTGGTCCCTAGCGTGGTAGTCCCTGGTGTAGTGGTCCCTAGTGCAGTGGTCCTTGGTGTGGTGATCCCTAGTGTGGTAATCCCTGGTGTAGTGGTCCCTGATAGGGTGGTTCCTGGTGTAGTGGTCCCTGGTGTAGTGGTCCCTAGTGCAGTGGTCCCTGGTGTAGTGGTCCCTAAGTAAGTGGTGTGGTGTAGTGGTCCCTAGCGTGGTAGTCCCTAGTGTAGTGGTCCCTGGTGTGGTGGTCCCTAGTGTGGTAATCCCTGGTGTAGTGGTCCCTGGTGTGGTGGTCCCTGGTGTAGTGGTCCCTCTTGTGGTGTTTCCTAGTATGGTGGTCCCTGGTGTGGTGGTCCCTGGTGTGGTGGTCCATGGTCTGGTGGTCCCTGCTGTGGTAGTCCCGGGTGTCGTGGTCCATGGTGTGATGGTCCATGGTGTGGTAGTCCATGATATGGTGGTCTCTGGTGTGGTAATTCCTGGTGTTGTCCCTGGTGTGGTATCCCCTGGTGTAGTGGTCCCTGGTGTAGTGATCCCTGGTGTGGTGGTCCCTAGTGTGGTAGTCCCTGGTATGGTAGTCCCTGGTGCAGTGGTCTCTGGTGTGGTGGTTCCTAGTGTGGTAGTCCCTGGTGTGGTGGTCCATGGTGTCGTGGTCCCTGGTGAGGTAGTCCCTGGTGTAGTGGTCCCTGGTGGGGTGGTCCCTAGTGTGGTAGTCCCTGGTGTGGTGGTCCATGGTGTGGCAGCCCATGGTATGGTGGTCTCTGGTGTGATAGTCCCTGGTGTAATGGTCCCTGGTGTGGTGGTCCCTAGTGTGGTAGTCCCTGGTGTAGTGGTCCCTGGTGTAGTGGTCCCTGGTGTAGTGATCTCTAGTGTAGTGGTCCCTGATGGGGTGATCCCTGGTGTGGTGGTCCCTGGTGTAGTGGTCCCTCTTGTGGTGGTCCCTGGTGTGGTAGTCCCTGTTGTGGTAGTCCCTGCTGTGGTAGTTCCTGCTGTGGTGGTCCATGGTGTCGTGGTCCCTGGAGTGGTAGTCCCTGGTGTAGTGGTCCCTGGTGGGGTGGTCCCTAGTGTGGTAGTCCCTGGTGTGGTGATCCATGGTGTGATGGTCCATTGTGTGATGGTCCATGGTGTAGTAGTCCATGGTATGGTGGTCTCTGGTGTGGTAGTCCCTGGTGTGGTAGCCCCTGGTGTAGTGGTCCCTGGTGTAGTGGTCCCTGGTGTGGTGGTCCCTAGTGTGGTAGTCCCTGGTGTAGTGGTCCCTGGTGTGGTAGTCCCTAGTGTGGTAGTCCCTGGTATGGTAGTCCCTGGTGCAATGAACCCTGATGTGGTGATCCCTAGTGTGGTAGTCCCTAGTGTGGTGGTCCATGGCGTAGTAGTCCCTGGTGTAATGGTCCTTGGTGTGGTGATCCCTGTTGCAGTGGTATCTGATGGGGTGGTCCCTGGTATGATGGTCCCTGGTGGAGTGGTCCCTGGTGTGGTGGTCCCTAGTGTGGTAGTCCCTGGTGTAGTGGTCCTTGATGTAGTAGTCCTTGGTGTAGTGGTCCCTGGTGTGGTGATCCCTGGTGTAGTGGTCTCTGATGGGGTGGTCCCTAGTGTGGTGGTCCCTGGTGTAGTGGTCCCTCTTGTGGTGTTTCCTGCTATGGTGGTCCCTGGTGTGGTGGTCCATGGTGTGGTGGTCCCTGGTGTAGTAGTCCATGGTCTGGTGGTCCCTGGTGTAGTGGTCCCTCTTGTGGTGTTTCCTGGTGTGGTAGTCCCTGGTGTGGTGGCCCTGGTGTAGTGGTCCCTGGTGTGGTGGTCCCTCTTGTGGTGTTTCCTGGTGTGGTGGTCCTTGGTGTAGTGGTCCCTGGTGTAGTGGTCCCTGGTGTGGTGGTCCCTCTTGCGGTGTTTCCTGGCATGGTGGTCGCTGGTGTAGTGGTCCATGGTGTAGTGGTCCCTGGTGTGGTGGTCCATGTTCTGGTGTTCCCTGGTGTAGTGGTCCTTCTTTTGGTGTTTCCTGATGTGGTGGTCCCTGGTGTTTCCTGGTGTTGTGGTCCATGGTCTGGTGTTCCCTGGTGTAGTGGTCCCTCTTGTGGTGTTTCCTGGTGTGGTGGTCCCTGGTGTAGTAGTCCCTCTTGTGGTGTTTCCTGGTGTTGTGGTCCCTTGTGTGGTGGCCCCTGGTGTAGTGGTCTCTGGTACAGTGGTCCCTCTTGTGGTGTTTCCTGGTATGGGGGCCCCTGATGTGGTGGTCCATGGTGTAGTGGTCCCTGGTGTGGTGATCCCTGGTGTGGTGGTCCATGGTCTGGTTTTCCCTGGTGTAGCGGTCCCTCGTGGTGTTTTCTGGTGTGGTGGTCCCTGGTGTGGTGGTCCCTGGTGTAGTGGTCCCTGGTGTGGTCGTCCATGGTCTGGTGTTCCCTGGTGTAGTGGTTCCTCTTGTGGTGTTTCCTGGTGTGGTGATCCATGGTCTGGTGGTCCCTGGTGCAGTAGTCCCTCTTGTGGTGTTTCCTGGTGTTGTGGTCCCTTGTGTGGTGGCCCCTGGTGTAGTGGTCTCTGGTACAGTGGTCCCTCTTGTGGTGTTTCCTGGTATGGGGGCCCCTGATGTGGTGGTCCATGGTGTAGTGGTCCCTGGTGTGGTGATCCCTGGTGTGGTGGTCCATGGTCTGGTTTTCCCTGGTGTAGCGGTCCCTCGTGGTGTTTTCTGGTGTGGTGGTCCCTGGTGTGGTGGTCCCTGGTGTAGTGGTCCCTGGTGTGGTCGTCCATGGTCTGGTGTTCCCTGGTGTAGTGGTCCCTCTTGTGGTGTTTCCTGGTGTGGTGATCCATGGTCTGGTGGTCCCTTGTGTAGTAGTCTCTCTTGTGGTGTTTCCTGGTATGGTGGTCCCTGGTGTGGTGGTCCCTGGTGTGGTGGTTCATGGTCTGGTGTTCCCTGGTGTAGTGGTCCCTCTTGTGGTGTTTCCTGGTGTGGTGGTCCCTGGTGTAGTAGTCCCTCTTGTGGTGTTTCCTGGTGTGGTGGTCCATGGTCTAGTGGTCCCTCTTGTGGCGTTTCCTGGTGTGTTGGTCTCTGGTGTGGTGGTCCCTGGTGTAGGGGTCCCTGGTGTAGTAGTCCCTCTTGTGGTGTTTTCTGGTGTGGTGGTACATGGTCTGGTGGTCCCTCTTCTGGTGTTTCCTGGTGTGGTGGTCTCTGGTGTGGTGGCCCCTGGTGTAGTGGTCCCTGGTGTGGTGGTCCATGGTCTGGTGGTCCCTGGTGTAATGGTCCCTCTTGTGGTGTTTCCTGGTGTGGTGGTCAATGGTCTAGTGGTGTTTCTTGTGTTTCCTGGTGTGGTGGTCCATGGTCAGTGGTCCCTCTTGTGGTGTTTCCTGGTGTGGTGGTCCATTGTCTAGTGGTCCCTGGTGTAGTGGTCCTTCTTGTGGTGTTTCCTGGTGTGGTGGTCCAAGGTGTGATGGTCCCTGGTGTGGTGGTCCCTGGTGTGGTGGTCCATGGTTTAGTGTTTCCTGGTGCTACTAGTGGTCCCTGGCTAGCTATCATACGACACGCAGCAGCTACCCTGAGAGCCACCAGTATTACGATATTCGTCTATCTGGACCAGATACTACACTATTTCTCAATATTCCTCAGCTCAGTGTAACTTTCTGACGCATTTGTCTCATCTGGCAATCTGGCACTAACGTATTTTCTCCTAGAATATTATATATATATAATATATATATATATTATATATATATATATATATATATATATATATATATATATATATATATATTAATATATATGTATTTACTTCATATCTTACCTCTCTGTTATTATTATTATTATTACTGATACATTCAGTGGAAGCAGGACTCTCGTAGGAGACAGTGCCTGGAATAACAGGAGACATTCAGGTTTGATCCAAGGACGAGGAAGGTAGTTTCCATTCCTTGGTCCAGGAACCTTTCACTGGAGCATCAAGAAATCCTTCATGGGGGGAAAAGACTGTGGAGGTTGAGGTGTATGAGTGAAGAGGTAGATGAAAGTGAAGACGTACATGAGAGTGAAGTATACATAGATAAGAGTGAAGTAGACGTAGATAAGAGTAAAGAGGTAGATGTGAAGGTAAACGTAATGAGTTTGAGCTAGATAAACAGCATGAGGTAAGAACGAGAGTAGAATACAGAGAAGGTAGAGAAGTAAAACGAGAATAACATAGTGGAGGAGTAGGAGACTAATGATAAAAGGCAGGCAGGCAGGCAGGCAGGCAGGCAGGCAGGCAGGCAGGGGCGGGCGGGCGGGCGGGCGGGCGGCGGGCGGGCGGGCGGGCGCGGCGGCGGGCGGGCGGGCGGGCGGGCGGGCGGGCGGGCGGGCGGGCGGGCGGGCGGGCGGGCGGGCGGGCGGGCAGGCAGGGCGGGCAGGGCGGGCAGGCGGGCAGGCGGGCAGGCGGGCAGGCGGGCAGGCGGGCAGGCGGGCAGGCGGGCAGGCAGGCAGGCAGGCAGGCAGGCAGGCAGGCAGGCAGGCAGGCAGGCAGGCGAGGTGAGAGCCTCATTACCACACACACTGCCACAGTATCACAAGACCATTAACACACACCTCACACAACATCCATCCTCTCACACCCAACACCACTATTATCCAACACAACTGGCAGGGAGGTTCATACATGTGGTACACTGTACAGTTGTGGCAGGGAGGTTCATACATGTGGTGGTACACTACAGTTTCGGCAGGGAGGTTCAAACATGTGGTACACTGTACAGTTTCGGCAGGGAGGTTCACACATGTGGTACACTGTACAGTTGTGGCAGGGAGGTTCATACATGTGGTGGTACACTGTACAGTTTCGGCAGGGAGGTTCACACATGTGGTACACTGTACAGTTGTGGCAGGGTCACACATGTGTTACACTGTACAGTTGTGGCAGGGAGGTTCACACATGTGGTACAGTGTACAGTTGTGGCAGGGTCACACATGTGTTACACTGTACAGTTGTGGCAGGGAGGTTCACACATGTGGTACACTGTACAGTTGTGGCAGGGTCACACATGTGTTACACTTACAGTTGTGGCAGGGAGGTTCACACATGTGGTACACTGTAACAGTTGTGGCAGGGTCACACATGTGTTACACTGTACAGTTGTGGCAGGGAGGTTCACACATGTGGTACACTGTACAGTTGTGGCAGGGAGGCTCACACATGTGGTACACTGTACAGTTGTGGCAGGGAGGTTCACACATGTGGTACACTGTACAGTTGTGGCAGGGTCACACATGTGTTACACTGTACAGTTGTGGCAGGGAGGTTCACACATGTGGTACACTGTACAGTTGTGGCAGGGAGGCTCACACATGTGGTACACTGTACAGTTGTGGCAGGGAGGTTCACACATGTTGTACACTGTATAGTTATGGCAGGGAGGGTCACACATGTGGTACATTGTACAATTGTGGCAGGGAGGTTCACACATGTGGTACACTGTACAGTTGTGAGTGGGAGGTTCACACATGTGGTACACTGTATAGTTATTGCAGGGAGGGTCACACATGTTGTACACTGTATAGTTGTTGCAGGGAGGTTCACACATGTGGTACACTGTATAGTTGTTGCAGGGAGGTTCACACATGTTGTACACTGTATAGTTGTAGCAGGGAGGTTCACACATGTTGTACACTGTATAGTTGTGGCAGGGAGGTTCTCTCTCTCTTACACACACACACATATAGTACATTACACAACTGTCGTGGCAGGGAGGGTTTCATAATTTAATGTGTTCTAACTCAGACTCAGACCAACGGTTCCAGAGCTGCTGAGAGAGTACTGAAAAATTGTTTGAGAAAGGAATACCTTGCAGAAAATTGGGAGATTATGAACAGTTCAGTGAGCTTGATAGTTGTAATAGTGTACAATACAGACAAGATGATGAATAAACCACATGTGCAACAACTTGGTATCTTTATTGAGGACTTAGTCAATTATCAGAACTTGTTGAGTCAAGTGTGACATGCAGCCTCACATAATAGGTAGAAATACCTAACAGTGCTGCACTGAACAGTAACTAAATGTATACTCACATAATGATACAGCTAATTACTGCTTGACTGAATGTATATAAACATAAATTAGCCACAGATCAAATTTTATATTGTTTACAAGCTTAAGAGAACTCCTGACCAGGAAAATTAACTTTCATTTATACAACATGCTAAATTCCTCCTGCAGGTGTTGCACATGTGTTGTATTCGTCAGTTGACTGAGCAGCTGAGTCTGTTCATTGTGCTTAACATCAATGTGTCCAGAACCCAGAAAAAAAACAACTTCTTTGTGTTTACTACAAAATGCAACACAGCCAGATTTGTATACGAAGGCTGCAAGACAAGGGAATCAAATTTCTGGACAGCTTGCAGTGAACTTTAGGAATTGGAAACAACCAAAAATGATGAGGCAGACATGGCACAATGTGTATAACAGCTGTGAGAACTGCATATAACTGCTGTGAAAATACTGGCCAACTCTAGTAAATGTCCTTGGATTATTCTTTCTGGATAAACAGCTGCTTACCTAACACCATCTACAGATTTCAAATCATCGGTGTACATGGTTTCAGTATGAGAATAAGACTGAAAGTGTTCAAAAATGAGTGAGTGGAAAGACACGGAAAACACTCTCAGATCTGGGCTCTTGAAAATTTACCAAAACCTGAGATATTGTCCTAACTAAACCAAATGAACATCACATGCAGGGAGTCTTTAGATTCGATCCTAGGAAGAAGATGAGACCTAATTCCTCAGCTCAAGAATTAGTCACACTATATTCTATAGTGGAATATTCCAACCTCATGTTTAATTTGGTCATGTATTCTGCATTACACACAGTAATATCCCATGCACACAGAACTTATCATGGGTTCAACATATTAAAACAGGAATATTTTTTTTTTCAACAAATTAGCCATATCCCACTGAGGCAGGGTGACCTAAAGAGAAAAATAAAAGTTTCGCTTTTTAAATTTAGTAATGTATACAGAAGGGGTTACTAGCCCCTTGCTCCTGGCATTTTAGTTGCCTCTTACGACATGCATGGCTTACGGAGGAAGAATTCTGTTTCACTTCCCCCATGGAGAAGATAGGAATATATATATTCCAAAAACACCCTAGAGTGAATTGTGTGAGGATTCATTTGAAGGAGTGGTGGGGATATTTGCAGTTTTTTACTCCAGCATCAGTATGCCTCTGTAAAACAGTGATGGAGTAAGTGATGAAAAAAGTGTTTCTTCTTCTTTTTTTGGGTCATCCTACCTCAGTGGAAGACAGCTGGTTTATTGAAAAAAAAAAAAGTTTTCTGTCACTGTGCTTTTAGCTGGCTGTAAATTGTCAGGGAAGAGTGATGGCCTAGTGAAATATGAGTAGGAAAGACCTCAGAGTTTATATTTACTAGGCTTTATTTTTTAATGAAATTTTAATTAAATATTCATTAATGTTTTATTATAATTTCTTTGTTAGTTTAAAGCTTATGTTATCTCCTTGTATCTTCCACTGTACTGCTATTTTTTGTTTCCTCAAACACATAGGCAATTGGACTTGCTTTGGTACTGTGTGTCTGGGATAGCTACACTACTTACTCATCTAGCTAATTAACTGACTAACAAATGATCCATTTACAAAGGTTAATCAAAAGCATTCAACTCAATCATTGATTTATTTATTTGCAACGTAACTCTACACACAAACACACACACAGGAAATAAGAATTCTATTAGTAGGCAGGAGAGGCATTGAGCCAACAAGATGATAAAGAATGATGAATCAGGGATCTTTCTGAGTCAAACTTTGTTACAATAAAGAGATGTTTCATGTATCTCTATCATTATTGCCGAGTTTATAATTTTGATCATTTAATGAGTGAAGTAAAACTAAGATGATTTCTTTATATATCAAACATGAATTTTCAGAAAATTTAGTGGACAATGCAGTCAAGTTGGGTAAATGGTTTGCAACATACAAATAGATACTTTTATTTATGGGGTTTATGGTATACTGTATGTATGTAGTAGCATGAAGAAAAACAAAAAAATATTTGGTATATAAATGGAGAAGTGGAACAGAATTCTTCCTCCATAAGCTATGCTTGTCATAAGAGCCGACTAAAATGCCGGGAGCAAAAGGCTAGTAACCCCTTCTGTATACATTACTAAATTTAAAGAGAGAAACTTTAGTTTTTTCTTTATAGGTCACCCTGCCTCAATGGGATATGGCCTGGTTGTTGAAAAAAAGCATGTATAGGTAATATACATGCATTTTATTATGTTTTTTTTTATTAACACATCGGCCGAGTCCCACCAAGGCAGGGTGGCCCGAAAAAGAAAAACTTTCATCACCATTCACTCCATCACTGTCTTGCCAGAGGGTGCTTTACACTGCAGTTTATAAAACTGCAACATTAACACCCCTCCTTCAGAGTGCAGACACTGTACTTCCCATCTCCAGGACTCAAGTCTGGCCTGCCAGTTTCCTGGAATCCCTTCATAAATGTTACTTTATGAATTATCATTTAAAATCTTTGAATCAATATTTCTTGGTTCTTCAATTCTACCTTGTAGATACAGAACTATATTATATAAACAAAATCTATATGTGCATTTTTGTACAGCTTATATACGGTATACATTCAATTAACAAATTAAACTAGTTGAGAAGCTTAGAATTTCTTCAATTTTTTAACTAATTACACCAGTGGTTAAGAAAATGCAATTAGTACATAATATTTCAACAATAATATTAGCACATTCAGATGGATGGCAATGTTGTGATTCAATGGGTAACTTGGACTGTAATGTCTATTCACTTACAGAAAGGCAGATCAGGAATGGGTATTTTTTTTTTTTTTTTGAGTCAGCCTAATTTGGTAGAAAATGGTCAGTGTATTAAAACAAATTGTTAGAAGCCCAAAAGAGTGACCTAAGTCAGCATCTATAGTTTTTGGCAGAAATAAATTAATACTGTACAATATTGATTAGTCTTGCAGTATCACTCCTTAGCGTATTTCTTCATTACACTTTCTATCATCCTATAAAACTGATAACCTTTCTCTTGTGTCAAATTGGTTGCTCCTTTCAGCTTGTAGAATTCAATACTTGGAGTATTCCAGTTTAATACAGAAAGGCTACACCTGCATCCTCCAGCATCAATTCCAGCCTGGAATAAAAACATTATAAATTATGAAAAGTTAACTGTTATCAATAAAAATTTCCATAAAATTTATTAATTTCATATGTAAAAGTTTCCTAAATTACTACATATGGTATTATCTTTAAAAAACTGAAAAAAAAAGACATTATGATTCCAAATATAACAAGAACTAATATGCTATTTAATACAGGTCAGCCATCACTAATCCAGCAATTAGTAATCTGGTTCCATCAGTAATCTGGCACTAATTTCGGCTAACATAAATTCAAATTTCTGGGGTCGCCACACCAACCTGCCACTACTAATTGGTGGTGCTACTTGCAGCATAAGTCATTCCAATTTCTTTTATTTCATTTATTTTTATAACCTGCTCACTTTTAACCCTAGCCATGGTTCCAACAAATAAAAGAAATGCTTCTTGTTGTGTAAAGCACATACACCATACCTGTCCATAAAAGATAAGGTGGCCTTGAAGCCACTGTCGGTTGCCATCAGCTCAGCGCACTCAGATAAGCTGTGACCAATAAATTTGGGCCTACATATGAGAGAATAGATCTGTGTGGTAAGTATGCACTATATGTATAAAAAAATCCTGCAGCACACAGTGCATAATGAGAAAAAAACTGTGACTGTGTTTATGATGTAAAACTGACTTTGCAGTGTATTTTTGTATGATTTTTATGGTTGTATTCTTGTTTTTTTGGTCTCATTTGACAGACTGGAAGATATATTACAAATAAATATGATTTTGATTGGGTTCACAACAGAAAGTACCTTGAAATTGAGCTCCAACTAGTAGAAATGTTCGATTTTCGCCAATGTTCAAGAGTATCCAACTGACCAGTCTAATACACAGTCAGGAATGGCTTGACATTATTTATACAATTATTACAATAATGCAGTAGTCTATATTGCGGTAAATCTTCTATTTTTTGTGTGAACAAAAATTCAAAATGGAAAGCAAGCATAATATCAGAGATGCCTTGAGACATGACTAATGAACAGAGAAAATATTATTTTAGTGCCAAGAATGTCTGCATTGTTTATTTTGGACCCTATTTTAACCCTTTGACTGTTTCAGTCATATATATGTCTTACCAGCCAGTGTTTCAGACGTATATATACTCAATTCTAGCGGCTTCAAATCAAGCAGGAGAAAGCTGGTAGGCCCACATGTGAGAGAATGGGTCTGTGTGGTCAGTGTGCACTGTATAAAAAAAACCTGCAGTATGCAGTGCATAATGAGAAAAAAAAAACTCAGACCATGTTTTTGGATTAAAACGCTGACTTTGAGGTGTATTTTCGTATAGTATTTATGGATGGTTGCATTCTCGTTTTCTTGGTCTCATTTGATAGAATGGAAAACATATTACAGAAAAAGAGATGATTTTTTATTACTTTCACGATGAAAACGACCTTGAAATTGTAATATAAGAGGGGCCTAGAGACGTGACTAATGAACAGAGGATATGTTATTTTAGTACCAAGAATATCTGCATTGTTTATTCTGGACCCTATTTTGAAATTTGCATCTTTTTTAATTTGCGTGAAATTGGCCAAATTGCCAATTTCTGGCCACTTTATTGGGTAACTGAAATTGGTAAATAGGCGGCTTCTTGTATTCAATTGATAGAAAAAAATGGAGTTCTAAAGAAATAGCTATGAGTTTGGTCGACTGGAACAATGGAATTGGCAGTAAAATATGGCTCAAAGTCGGCAAAATTGCCGATGCGTAAATATATCGCCGAGATCGCTAACTTCGAGGGAGTGTAATTCCATAAGTTTTCGATTAAATTTTATACTTTTGGTGTCATTACCATCAGGAAAAGATTCTCTATTATTTCATAAGAAAAAAATAATTTTCTTTTTCCAGAAATTTTTCGACATAGAATGACAGTTTCAGAAAGGGGTTTACAACAGTCAAAGGGCTAAAATTGGCATCTCTTGAAATTTGTGTAAAATTGACCAAACTACCAATTTCTGACCACATTATTGGATACTTGAAATAGGTAAATGGGCAGTTTCTTATACTCAGTTGACAAAACTTAACGATAGAGCTCCATTCCTAAGACCACGTTGGTAAACAAATTCATCGCTAAGCGAGAAGCATACTATAATGGTAGTGGGCTTGTGTCAACCATCTTTGACATTGTTTTAATGTTACCTTTGCATCATTTATAACATTTCTGATACATTTTTAAATGTTTATACAGTAGTGTACTATATATTGTAATAAACAAAATAGAGGAAATCAGCTCTAATATACATTATTTAGGTATTCATACTGGTCAGAGAGCCTGTCATAAGTCCGAGGCATCAGTAAACAAGTACATCACTAAGTGAGGAGAGGCTGTACTAGTGAAATAGGTATGAGTCTGGTAGACTGGAACAATGGAATGGGCCAAAAATAAGGCATAAAATGGGTGAAGTCACCGTTGCGTAAATATCGCTGTTGGGTTAAGTGTATTCTAATCTAACCACTTTGTAATCCGGCAAAATCACTAATCTTGCACCCTACAGGTCCAGATGGTGCCGGATTAGTGATAGTCAACCTGTATTATATTTTAGCCAAATTTGGGTTTATACTCACTTCAAAGCTTAACAGTTTAATAATATTCATTAAGCAATATCTTCCCCTTACATGATCATAACTTTACAAAATCAAAGACATGAAAAAAAAAAAAGGAAAAGATTAGTGGCAACAAAACAAAAGATGGAGAGAGAACCAGAAGAAAGATAAGGGATGAAAGGACAAACAGAGGAGAAAGATAAAGGATGAAATAACAGAGAAGAAAGATAAGGGATGAAAGGACAAACAGAGGAGAAAGATAAGGGATGAAATAACAGAGAAGAAAGATAAGGGATGAAAGGACAAACAGAGGTGAAAGATAAGGGATGAAAGAACAGAGGAGAAAGATAAGGGATGAAAGAACAGAGGAGAAAGATAAGGAATGAGAGAAAGAACAGAGATGACAATGAGAAACATGAAAGGATAACTAGAGAAGAAAGATAAGGGATAATAGGAAGAGGGATGAAAAGAAGTGAAAGATAAGGGATGAATGGGAGAGCCGAGAAGAATAAGGGATGATAGAACAGAGAAGAAAGATAAGGGATGAAAGAGAGAAACAAGGAAAAAAAGATAATGGCTGAAAAGAGCAGAGGAGAAAGATGCAAGATAAAAGGAAAAAGAGTAGAGAGAAAAAAAGGGGGGTGACTGGAACAAAAAATGATGAAATGAAAAACTGAAAGGAAATTCATACGCTGAAAAGAACAGATGCGAAAGAAAACATAGGAGAAAAATTAGAGATAACAACAAACTAAAGAAAAAAGACATTTGATGAAAGGAATAATAGAAGTGAAAGATAGATGATGACAGGAAGGACTGAGGAGACAGAGTAATGAAAAAGTGAAAAATACAATCATAAAATTCACAAAATACGCAAATTCTGACAGGTTCATTAAGTGCTGCATGACAGCTGAGAATGCACATTGTAAGAAAAAGTGGCTGGTACACAAAGCAATGAGATGGTAGAACAAGAAATGAGCAGAATTTAGAAATTAAAGATATAAAAAATTTATCTCCGATCAAAAATAAATAACCGTACATACTTTCAGAAATGAGCACCGACAGAGTGACCATGGCAGGGCATAAAAACACAGGTTGAAGACCAAGATGTTGCTCAGATAAATAAGACAATTTATCAAGACCTATTAAAAGGCACATACAGTTACAACAATCTGAAAAGCCTCACATACCAGAGCAAGGCAGTCATCCACATGATGACCATGGTGACAGGTAAGTCAAATACGTACAGTACGTCCAATAAACAGGAGAGAACAGTCTCCCACCAGTACCAATGATGTGAGGACAGCCAAAAGCCCAGGTGTGATTTTAAAGTAAGCGTTCACATGCGTAGTGCTCCAAAAGTAGATCTACGTTTTTTTACATATTTTCAAGTATAACAAAAAAAAAATGTAGATCAAAGTTTTTTTTACACATTTTCAAATGTAAAAAAAAAAAGAAGAAGATCTACGTTTTTTTTACATACTTTCAAATGTTGAAAAAACGTAGATCTACGTTTAGCCAGTTTAAGGGTTAATGGCAAGCATGTATGAGATGAACACCTGACAATAGTCTGAAAAGGGCTAATGCTAGTGGACAACAGTTAGGCCCCAAACAACTGAACAGTCTGCAGGTTCAGCCATTAAAATCTAAAAATAACTAGAGGTCCAACAAAAGGCAATGAAAGCAACACTGAAATCAAAGTACAAGGGGATGAGAACAACCAAGGGACTGAATCACATGTAATGGAATGTGAAATTTAGAACTGATAGTAAATTTATACCTTTGATGAGTTTTGAGTCTTGCTACTCTTGGAGCCCAGCCATGGGCCAGGCTTGTTGAGAGACATGCTAACAAAGCAAGAATGATATCTAGGGGAAGGGTATACAACTCAGTCTCCATGCCTTCAGAGGCCTCCAAAATAATTTGAAGTGTGTACAGCAATGGCATCTGAATATGATGGAAAAACCCTGAAGAAACAGACTGTACAATGAAAACAGAGAAAGATGCTTAAAGAAGAAAAGAACAGATGTAAAACACTGGAATTTTCTAAGGCAGGAGTGAGAAATAAGAAACAGGTAGAACAGCAAAAAATAGGAATGAGAAAAAGGAATTCACTAGTGAATGCAAACAGCAAGAGGGCTGCAGTGAGAAGGAACAGCATCTGAGACAACTCTGTAGGTCATGAAGACTGGGAAACACTGCAACAAAGACAGTGGGTATGGAGACAATTCTATAAAAAAGGAACATGAGTCTCCACATAATGGATTTTAAGAGCGAAGGACTTCAAGGTTCCTAAATATAACCATAAACTCTGATTAAAGATAGCATCCAGCTTGGAGTGGTACTTTAGAGAGATTAGGAGAACACCTGATCTCAGTCACTGAACTCAAGACAAGACCAAAGTTGAGTGAGAGAGAAATAAGAGCTATTTGTTTTTCATTAAATATGAAACAAAATCAGGTGTAATCCAGGAAGAAAATAATCCTTAATAAAGGCTATGCGCTGTATCCATAACAAACAGTAATGAATCGAATAGTAAGTCACTGAATTTTGTAATTTCGCAATCATGGTATGGGATCTATAAAAGTAGAGTAGGCAGTGAGAATTGACAGAATGTCTGATTAAAAAGTCAGACAACATATTTTATGAAACTGAGAAACTGAAGCTGTATCATGTGGCCCAAGAGAAAGCTCCATCAACTGCTTGCTGCAAAGAGGCAGGCAACAGCTGAAAATTCATATTGGCATAAACTATGTGATAAAGTCATCCATATTCAGAGAAGACCAGTAAAGTCAAAAAGGAAAACTTGTGGCAAAAGGTACAAAGAGAACAGTCTCAATAAAAGCTTGTTCTGCATAATGTCATTAAACTCATACCTGTCAACATAATTCCTCTACATCTGTTGTAGTATAGCCACTGACAGCTGCAAGGATAAAAGTATAGCTCAGGACATAACCTATGAAGACCCTTTCTTATCATTTTAACCCTTAAACTGTCCAAACAGATCGACGTTCAAATCCGTAGTGCTCCAAAAGTAGATCTACATTTTTTACATATTTTCAAATATAACAAAAAAAAATGTAGATAAAAGTTTTTTACACATTTTCAAATGTAAAAAAAAAAGATCTACATTTTTTTACATACTTTCAAATGTTAAAAAAACATAGACCTACGTTTGGACAGTTTAAGGGTTAAGAGAAATAGCTGCTACTGATTCAGGCAAAAAAAAAAATTATATCCAGCAGAAAACTCTACAGAAATACAAGCAAGAACAAGCTTGGGATAAAATATAATACATCTTGGGACTACCATGCAGTCCCAGGCCTTCTTAAAATAGGTTAAAAGATAGCCATGACCAGGTGATGATCAGCAAAAATGCTGCAGATATATTCAGATGGAGATGTGGACAAACAGGGAAACAACCATCCCATATGAAGGGACAGATAATGATGGTTGTTGAAGTACCACATTAGACTCCAATTAACCATAAGCTCCAGCAATTCACAGACGGAGCTGATGAGAGAAACTGGTTGATGATGGGCTGGTTCATGATTTGTGAAAATTATATAAATGTATATAAGTGCCCTAGGTAGTAGGTTGGTAGACAGCAACCGCCCAGGGAGGTACTACCGTCCTGCCAAGTGAGGGTAAAATGGAAGCCTGTAATTGTTTTACATAATGGTAGGATTGCTGGTGTCTTTTTTCTGTCTCATAAACCTGCAACATTTCAGGTACATCTTGCTACTTCTACTGACACTTAGGTCACACTACACATGTATGTACAAGCATATATACACACACACCCTTCTGAGTTTTGTTCTATTTTCTTACTAGTTCCCAGTAGTTAAATTTTTTTACTAAATTTATATAGACAATGAAAGCTCTCTGTATGCTTTCTAGCTCTGCATTCTCGTTTGCCTTTAAGGAAGCTATTAGTATATGCACTAGTATTTCAGCCTGCAAAGAAGAAGTGTTTTGAAGATTATCATCTTCAGCTCAGCATCTCTTGTTTTGAATATTCTAGAATCTAGTTATCCAGCCTGTCATTTTCCTTGTAGTAGTATAGCACCACTGTTGTGATCCTTGAATGTGCGATCTTCTGACATTGTCACTTCCAAATCCCACAGACTGAACTTTCAGTCCACCGAATGATTTGAGATTGTCTTGTACTCAATTTCAGTCTTTATTTCATCCATTCTTCCATAGTGGAACAACTGAAATTCATCCTAATTGTTGTCTGAGGCCCACTAGAAGACTTTATTTGTATCTGCTTAAAGATTTGCTGTGTCCTCAATAGGCACAGAAATTTTGCTATCAACAAAGGATGATACAATGGCATTATTACTTATAATGTTCTTGTCTGTTTCAGATATAAGAATGAGCTTTTCACTGTGGCAACCTCCAACTTCACCATGTCCAGCTGCATGAGTTAGCTGCTAGTGGGGCTGCCTAAAGCAACCCAAATTCACGCCACAAGGTTTAGCCATTAATAGAAATTCTATCTCAGTATTTTTATTGCCTTATTAACACATTGGTCATTTCCCACCAAGGCAGGGTGGCCCAAAAAAGAAAAACTTTCATCATTCACTCCATCACTGTCTTGCCAGAGGCGTGTTTACACCCCTCTTTCAGAGTGCAGGCACCATACTTCCCTTTTCCAGAACTCAAGTCCAGCCTGCCGGTTTCCCTGAATTCCATCATGAATGTTACCTTGCTCACACTCCAACAGTACGTCAAGTCCTAAAAAGCATTTGTCTCCATTCACTCCTATGTAACACATTCACACAGCTTGCTAGAAGTTCAAGCCCCTAGCACACAAAACCTCCTTTCCCTCAAACCTTTCCTAGTCCGACCCCTACCCCGCCTTCCCTCCACTACAAATTTATACACTTGAAGTTATTCTATTTCATTCCATCCTCTCTACATGTCCAAGCCACCTCAATAACCCCTCCTCAGCCCTCTGGATAATAATTTTGGTAATCCCACACCTCCTCCTAATCTCCAAACTACAGATTCTCTACATTATATTCACACCACACATTGCTCTCAGACAAGACCTCTCTACTACCTCCAGCCTTCTCCTTGTTGCAACATTCACCACCCATGCTTTACACCCACATAAGAGCACCAGTATAACTATACTCTCATACATTCTCCTCTTTGCTTCCATGGATAAAGTTCTTTGTCTCCATAGACTCCTCAGTGTACCACTCACCTTTTTCCCCTCATCAATTCTATGATTCACCTCATCTTTCATAGACCCATCTGCTGACACATCCACTCCCAAACAGTATCTGAAAACATTTACCTCCTCCATTCACTCTCCCTCCAATCTGATATCCAATCTCTCATTACCTAATTTTTTGTTATCCTCCCTTATATGAGCCATGGGTATGGTAAATCAAGCCAAAGGATGCTACACACACACTGTAAGGCACAAAAGTGCATCTGTATGACAGTCAGCAAATGTGTTCAGTGCTATGAGTCAATGACCATAAAGTGCCACTATTCAGTGTTGAACCAATAAACTTTGGAGTATCCATGTCAAGTCGACCTGAATCTCACATATGGTGGTCCCTTGAGTTATGATATTAATCTATTTCAGAAGATGTGTCGTACAAACTTAAACTCAAAACCCCAAAATACATGGTTTTATGGTAATTTGTTCCAAGATGCCAGAACACACCCAACCTGCTCTTGGAATCTTTTAGTCATTTAAGAACTCTGGGTTTTTCTGAGTGATACACAAGCATAGGCTACAGCTTGAAATATGCAGAGGCATTAGCACCCAGCAGCAGAGTAAGCCTATCTTTCATAAGCTTATGCCCAGGCAGGATAGAGCAGGGTGAGCAGGGCAGGCAGGCAGGGGAGAGCAGGCAGGGGAGAGCAGGCTGGGGAGAGTAGGCTGGGGAGAGCAGGTAGGGCAGGGCAGGCAGGGCAGGCAGGGCAGGCAGGGCAAGGCAGGCAGGGCAGGGCAGGCAGGCAGGGTAGGGCAGGCAGGTAAAGAATTGTAGACTTAACAATGCCGTTGTCACTGTCTCCCATTGTTCATGTCTGATACACATATGGTCACCCTCCCTCCCTTCCACCACCACCACCCCTCCCACTCACCTCCAACACACCCTCCACCATCACTCCATTTAAGACCTTTTCATCACCCTGTCTTGTCTCTGGGCTGAGGCCCACCCACACCTGCTGACCATTATACACCAACATATCGTATCTCAAATTTTTCATGGCAACTCAAAACTAGATTTCTTTAAGAGGGCAAATCATAATTCAAAATTATTTTAACTCCAGCCCATCATAACCCAAGGGGCCACTGTATATCAAAAGACAGTTAATGCTGTATAGTAATAAGACCTCATGATATCCAGCAGGTTAGAGTGCATTAGATTGGAGTGAGTGGAGGCAAGTGGATTTATATGACTTGATGTGCTGTTGGAGTGTAAGAAAAGTATCATTTATGAAAGGATTCAAGGAAACAAGTTAGCCAGACAGGGAGGTGGGAAGTAGAGTGCCTGCAGTCTAAAGGAGGGGTGAGAATGTTTCAGTACAGAGGGGTATCTGAACTGTGATGTCAGTACACCTGTAAAAAGAAAACAATCGAACAAATGATGGTGAATGTGTTTCCTCTTTTTTGGGGGAGATGGCTAGCATGCTAACAATATACATATTTCTTAAAGAGTTGCCTAAAAGTTTTTCTGTAATGACTACCCTCTTAAAAGTACTCTGGAGAGGAACAGTATTAAAATTCACATACCTGAACCACTTTCCTCCAAAGAGCTGAGCCAATGCCACGACTACGGTGTGTGGGGCTGATGTATAGGTCCTCCATATAGACACCTCTTCCATCCAGAGAATAGGTATAAAAGAACAAGACATAACCCACTAAAGTGTCAGCCTCCTCAGCTACAAATGCCTTGTAAAATGTCATCTCTCCAAATGAATCTTCTTGCAGTGCTGTGTAGAAAAATGCATTTTCTTTATTTCTTTAGGTATCAAGCAAATCAATTTATTAACACAGTACTGTTATTATGTATTATTTGAATTATTATTACCTAAATTCATATATTAACAGTTACTTACTTTAAAATTGTCTGAAACTAATTCTTTTAACTAAGAAATAAGAATAATGAGTAAAAAGGGGCCATCAAAATATGGAAAAATATAAGTGATAATGACAATATGACAAAATGTGATAAAATATGGAAAAACACTACAAGAGAAACTTTGTGCAGCAAAAGTTGCAAAGTGATTATATGTAGATGATGAATGACAAAATAATAACATGTACACCAACACAATTAACCCTTCTCACTGTTTCCTGTTGCTGTTGGTACACAGCAACCACCCAGGGAGGTACTACCGTCCTGCGAAGTGAGTGTGAAACAGAAACCTGTATTTGTTTTACACGATGGTAAGATTGCTGGTGTCTTTTTTTTCTGCAGGATTTCGGGTACATCTGGCTACTTCTACTTACACTTAGGTCACACTACATACACATGTACAAGCATGCATGCATGCATATATATATATATATATATATAAAGGTGAATACAGGAAAGAGTAAGGTTATGAGGATAACAAAAAGATTAGGTGATGAAAGATTGAATATCAGATTGGAGGGAGAGAGTATGGAGGAGGTGAATGTATTCAGATATTTGGGAGTGGACGTGTCAGCGGATGGGTCTATGAAAGATGAGGTGAATCATAGAATTGATGAGGGGAAAAGAGTGAGTGGTGCACTTAGGAGTCTGTGGAGACAAAGAACTTTGTCCTTGGAGGCAAAGAGGGGAATGTATGAGAGTATAGTTTTACCAACGCTCTTATATGGGTGTGAAGCATGGGTGATGAATGATGCAGCGAGGAGAAGGCTGGAGGGAGTGGAGATGTCATGTCTGAGGGCAATGTGTGGGGTGAATATAATGCAAAGAATTCGTAGTTTGGAAGTTAGGAGGTGCGGGATTACCAAAACTGTTGTCCAGAGGGCTGAGGAAGGGTTGTTGAGGTGGTTCGGACATATAGAGAGAATGGAGCAAAACAGAATAACTTCAAGAGTGTATCAGTCTGTAGTGGAAGGAAGGCGGGGTAGGGGTCCGGCCTAGGAAAGGTTGGAGAGAGGGGGTAAAGGAGGTTTTGTGTGCGAGGGGCTTGGACTTCCAGCAGGCATGCGTGAGCGTGTTTGATAGGAGTGAATGGAGACAAATGGTTTTTAATACTTGACGTGCTGTTGGAGTGTGAGCAAAGTAACATTTATGAAGGGGTTCAGGGAAACCGGCTGGCCGGACTTGAGTTCTGGAGATGGGAAGTACAGTGCCTGCACTCTGAAGGAGGGGTGTTAATGTTGTAGTTTAAAAAACTGTAGTGTAAAGCACCCTTCTGGCAAGACAGTGATGGAGTGAATGATGGTGAAAGTTTTTCTTTTTCGGGCCACCCTGCCTTGGTGGGAATCGACCAGTGTGATAATAAAATAAAATATATATATATATATATATTATATATATATATAATATATATTTATATATATATATATATAAATATATATATAATATATATATATATATATATATATATATATATAGTAGTAGGTTGGTAGACAGCAACCACCCAGGGAGGTACTACCGTCCTGCCAAGTGAGTGTAAAACGAAGCCTGTGATTGTTTTACATGATGTAGGATTGCTGATGTCTTTTGTCTGTCTCATAAATATGCAAGATTACAGGCATGTCTTGCTACTTCTACTTACACTTAGGTCACACTACACATACATGTACACATTTATTTATACACACTCATCTGAGTTTTCTTTGATTTTATCTTAATAGTTCTTGGTCTTATTAATTTTCCTTTTATATCCATGGGGAAGTGAATAAGAATCTTTCCTCCGTAAGCCATGCGTGTTGTAAAAGTCAACTAAAATCCCGGGGGGAACAATGGGCTAGTAACCCCTTTTCCTGTAAAGATTACTAAAAAGAATAAGAAGAAGAAAATTGTCATAGTGGGAAGTCTGAATGTGCATGGATGTTGTGCAGATGATAAGAAAGAGATGATTGTGGATGTTATGAATGAGAAGAAGCTGGATGTCCTGGCTTAAGTGAAACAAAGCTGAAGGGGGTGGGAGAGTTTCAGTGGAGAGGAATAAATGGGATTAGGTCAGGGGTTTCAAATAGAGTTAGAGCTAAAGAAGGAGTAGCAATAATGTTGAAGGATAAGCTATGGCAGGAAAAGAGGGACTATAAATGTATTAATTCAAGGATTATGTGGAGTAAAATAAAGATTGGATGTGAAAAGTGGTTATAATAAGCGTGTATGCACCTGGAGAAGAGAGAAGTGTAGAGGAGAGAGAGAGATTTTGGGAAATGTTGAGTGAATGCGTGGGGAGTTTTGAATCAAGTGTGGAGAGTAATGGTGGTTGGGATTTTAATGCTAAAGTGGGTAAAATGTTATGGAGGGAGTAGTAGGTAAATTTGGGGTGCCAGGGTAAATGTAAATGGGGAGCCTTTAATTGAGCTATGTGTAGAAAGAAATTTGGTAATAAGTAATACATATTTATGAAAAAGAGGGATAAATAATATACAAGGTATGATGTAGCACGTAATGAAAGTAGTTTATTAGATTATGTATTGGTGGATAAAAGGTTGATGGGTAGGCTCCAGGATGTACATGTTTATAGAGGGGCAACTGATATATCGGATCATTATTTAGTTGTAGCTACAGTTAGAGTAAGAGGTAGATGGAGAAAAGAGGAGGTGGCAACAACAAGTAAGAGGGAGGTGAAAGTGTATAAACTAGGGAGGAGGAAGTTCGGGTGAGATATAAGCGACTATTGGCAGAAAGGTGGGCTAGTGCAAAGATGAGTAGTGGGGGGGTTGAAGAGGGTGGAATAGTTTTAAAAATGCAGTATTAGAATGTGGGGCAGAAGTTTGTGGTTATAGAGGGTGGGGGGCAGGAGGAAAGAGGAGTGATTGGTGGAATGATGAAGTAAAGGGTGTGATAAAAGAGAAAAAGGTAGCTTATGAGAGGTTTTTACAAAGCAGAAGTGTTATAAGAAGAGCAGAGTATATGGAGAGTAAAAGAAAGGTAAAGAGAGTGGTGAGAGAGTGCAAAAGGAGAGCAGATGATAGAGTGGGAGAGGCACTGTCAAGAAATTTTAATGAAAATAAGAAAAAAATTTTGGAGTGAGTTAAACAAGTTAAGAAAGCCTAGGGAAAATATGGATTTGTCAGTTAAAAACAGAGTAGGGGAGTTAGTAGATGGGGAGATGGAGGTATTGGTAGATGGCGAGAATATTTTGAGGAACTTTTAAATGTTAAGGAAGAAACAGAGGCAGTAATTTCATGCACTGGTCAGGGAGGTATACCATCTTTAGGAGTGAAGAAGAGCAGAATGTAAGTGTGGGGGAGGTACGTGAGGCATTATGTAAAATGAAAGGGGGTAAAGCAGCTGGAACTGATGGATCATGACAGAAATGTTAAAAGCAGGGGGGGATATAGTGTTGGAGTGGTTGGTACTTTTGTTTAATAAATGTATGAAAGAGGGGAAGGTACCTAGGGATTGGCAGAGAGCATGTATAGTCCCTTTATATAAAGGGAAAGGGACAAAAGAGACTGTAAAAATTATAGAGGAATAAGCTTACTGAGTATACCAGGAAAGTGTACGGTAGGGTTATAATTGAAAGAATTAGAGTAAGACAGAATGTAGGATTGCGGATGAGCAAGGAGGTTTTAGAGTGGGTAGGGGATGTGTAGATCAGGTGTTTACATTGAAGCATATATGTGAACAGTATTTAGATAAAGATAGGGAAGTTTTTTATTGCATTTATGGATTTAGAAAAGGCATATGATAGAGTGGATAGAGGAGCAATGTGGCAGATGTTGCAAGTATATGGAATAGGTGTAAGTTATTAAATGCTGTAAAGAGTTTTTATGAGGATAGTGAGGCTCAGGTTAGGGTGTGTAGAAGAGAGGGAGACTACTTCCCGGTAAAAGTAGGTCTTAGACAGGGATGTGTAATGTCACCATGGTTGTTTAATATATTTATAGATGGGGTTGTAAAGGAAGTAAATGCTAGGGTGTTTGGGAGAGGGGTGGGATTAAATTATGGGGAATCAAATTCAAAATGGGAATTGACACAGTTACTTTTTGCTGATGATACTGTGCTTATGGAGATTCTAAAGAAAAATTGCAAAGGTTAGTGGATGAGTTTGGGAATGTGTGTAAAGGTAGAAAGTTGAAAGTGACATAGAAAAGAGTAAGGTGATGAGGTGTCAAATGATTTAGATAAAGAAAAATTGGATATCAAATTGGGGAGGAGGAGTATGGAAGAAGTGAATGTTTTCAGATACTTGGGAGTTGACGTGTCGGCGGATGGATTTATGAAGGATGAGGTTATCATAGAATTGATGAGGGAAAAAAGGTGAGTGGTGCGTTGAGGTATTGTGGAGTCAAAAACGTTATTCTATGGAGGCAAAGAAGGGAATGTATGAAAGTATAGTATACCAACACTCTTATATGGGTGTGAAGCTTGGGTGGTAATGAGCAGCGAGGAGACGGTTGGAGGCAGGGAGATGTCCTGTTTAAGGGCAATGTGTGGTGTAAATATTAATGCAGAAAATTCGAGTGTGGAAATTAGGAGAGGTGGTGGAGTTATAAAAGTATTAGTCAGAGGGCAGAAGAGGGTTGTTGAGGTGGTTGGTCATTTAGAGAGAATGGATCACAGTAGAAAGAATGGAAAGATATAAATCTATAGGGGAAGGAAGGCGGGGTAGGGGTCGTCCTCGAAAGGTTGGAGAGAGGGGGTAAAGGAGGTTTTTGTGGGTAAGGGGCTTGGACTTCCAGCAAGCGTGCGTGAGCGTGTTAGATAGGAGTGAATGGAGACGAATGGTACTTGGGACCTGACGTCTGTTGGAGTGTGAGCAAAGGGTAATATTTATGAAGGGATTCAGGGAAACCGGTTATTTTC